GTGTGTGTGTGTGTGTGTGTGTGTGATGCCACCAGATTCTGACCAGGAGAAAAGTAGGATGTGTTGATCTGATGCAGGTCGCAGGCTGAATGCCACCCATAGCTATGGCGCCCAGGCGAGTCCCTAGCTATGGCGCCCAGGCGAGTGCTCCACCACGGTCTCTCTTGAATCTTCATCCTAGCTCCTCTACCGCTAAACTGCTGTAGCACTATGCTCTAACACAGTGCTGCAGCCTGCTGCCGAAGTGTAGCAATAACAATGCAAGCCTCAACTGAGTCCTCGCCCAGCTATATGCCGGTCGGCTGACTGGAAGTGTCCTTGGCCTCCATCCTGACCCAAATCCTGGTCTTGTGGGCTGGACGAGTTCAGACCTCGCCAAAAAATGGACGCCTAGGTCCCTATTCGGGTTACCACCTGTCCGATGAAGGGACACTTTGGCCAGACGTTTTGATCCGACATCCAGGACCCCACTTGTCCAGGATCCCAGACAACTCATATCCGGCCCCACACTCGCCGCAATGACCCCCAGGAAAAAAATTGGCCCGTTTGGAGGGGGAGAAGGGGGGGGGAACGTGATGGAGAAGCTGAAGGACCTGCAGCAGCTGCAGCAGCTGCAGCAGAAAGCTGGAGAAGCTGCATCACCTGCAACACTGGTCGCAGCATCCGTTGCTGCAGTCACCACTGCAGCAGCGGTTTGCAGCGGCCGGCGCAACCAGTGCTGCAGCACCATGTGCATGCAACCTGCGGCTGCTGCTGCAACAGTCCATGCTGCAGCACTGCTTGCACCGCCAGCTGCATGCACTGCTGCTGCATGGACTGTTGCAGCAGCAGCTGCAGGCACTGCTGCTGCAGTTGTGGCAGCATCAGCAGTCGATAGCAACAACACTTACTGGATCAATTGTTGCAGCGGCAACGGCAGCGATTGCAGCTGCAACAGCACAAACAGCTGCTGTTGCAGCAGCTGCAACACTTTTCACAGCCGCGCAGCCGCAGCACTCGTTGCAGCTGCTGTTCCAGCGGCAGCACTTGTCGCAGGTGCAGCACCTGTTGCAGCTGCAACTAGTCCAGCAGTTGCAACAGCAGCGATCACAGCAGCACTTGCTGCGGCAGGTGCAGCGGTGGATGCAACCAGGCCACGCACACACACACACACACACACACACACACACACACACACACACACACACACACGTGTACACAGATGTTGCAACCCCTTTCACAGTGGGGAGTTGTGTCTGGGTCAAGATGTCTGAATTTTCTGAAGAGGAAGGCGTATCATGAAAGCTTCTTCCTCAGTACTACGGTTCGTGGAAGGTGTTGAACCGGGTAGGAAACGATTCCTTTGGTCCTTCTTACACAATCGAAGTGCCTCCTCACCTACATACGTATCCAGTCTTTCATGCGTCCAAGCTGTTTCCGTATAAATCACCCGAAACTTTCAAGTACCGAGAGTCAATGATTCCTCGTGCAATCCAAGGCGGTCACGAGGTTGATAGAATTGCTGAGCACAGTGGAAAGGGGAGAAACAGACAATACAAAGTTCATTTTCTCTACCACCCGTTGAATGACTTCTACTGGATTACTAAGAAAGACTTGCTGCAGAGCGCCCGACGAGTCGTCAACGCATATGAACAACTAATTAGCTCTGAACAGCAACCGAAGTTCACTGCTACCCTCAGTCCTACGGAACATACCCGATCTCTTTTTGCTATTTACGTGTATGATGCATTATGCAGGGAATCTGATTGAGTTACTCGCTCGAAGGGACCTCGCTCTTGAGGGGGGGGTAGTGTAATGACCCGCCATTAAACAGACTGAGATGCCTTGCTGAGATTCCCGCATTCTGCTGTGTTTTCTAAGTCTGTATGTGTGCGTGCCTGTCTAAGTGCTTGTCAGCACGAGTGTGTGTGTGACCCGCAAGGGTACTTGCTTGTTTGGCAGGCCCGTAGGGCCGATACTTACCTGTGGCCGTGGCATTGAGGGTTGCAGCAGGGGAAAACACTCAAGTAGCGGAGTCAGGGGCCCATGGCACCTGGAGCAGCGGAAAAACACTCAAGTAGCAGGTAGGCCGGCACCGCACCCAGTAGCAGTAGATGTGCCAGGTACTCGAGGCCGAGCAGAAGAAGACAAAGTTGGCATTTTTAGAGGCCCAGTAGCGGTAGGCTAGGTCTAGGCCGGTACCAGTCCATCCAGTCGGAGTCTAGAGCCTGTACGGGCAATATCAGAGTCTGCAATGACGTTTCCCTCCGAAAGGGAGGACGTACCGGTTGCTTGGGAGGCCGAGCAGCCTGGAAGTCACCGCCCAAGAGGCAAGCAGGCCGCTATATCAAGAGGCCGAGGCAAGAGCTAGGCCTCATTCTTCAGTGTGCAAGTTTGGCGACACGCTGCTGGAGCGCTGGCTGTAGTGGCGCTGGGTACTACAGCGCTGCTGGGAGGAAGAAGCCGGGAGTTTCCACCTTGGCTATGGTGGAGCTCTACCGGTAGGAGGAGGAGGGAGAAGGGGACCAAGGAGGAGAGTGGTGGGGTACTTACCTGGCTATGGTAGACACCACCTTCATCACCTTGTTAGGCGCTGCATCTGGAAGGCCCCTGTGGGGGGGGTAGTGCCGCATCAAGGCAGCTCGGGACAGAGTCAGGCATGGCGGTTGAGTGAGCAGCGGCATAGCTGCATGGAGTTGACCTGGGGACAGAAGGGCAGCGACGTAGCTGCTTTGGGTTGTCCTTTGGACAGGAGGGAAAGCGCTCAGTACTCCGCCATAGCCTTGGCCTGCATGTAGACGAAGAGAAAGGGTGGCCATGGCTATGGTGGACCTCATGTTGTGCCCGCAGTAGAAGTGGGATTCGGACATTGATTCTGGTTCAGCCATTCAACATTATTATTGTTATTTCTTGTTTGAATAAGAGGGGAGGCGATAAGGAGGAGGAGATTGGTTGGCGAGGAAGAAGAGCCTTGTCATTGGTCTATGGGCATCGTTAGACACTCCTCGGGAACGTGATTCCAAGGATTTCATCTTCCTTCCACCTGTCCTCGGAGATGAAATCGGAAATGAAAATGTGAAAACACTCCGAGGACAAATCCTTGGGCTCTGAATCGTCCTCGGCTCGAAAGGACCTCGCGAGGTCCTTTGGAGCCCGAGGATCCATGTTTCACGGAGAGGAGAGGGCATGCACGTAGAGAGACGTTACAACAGAGAATTCGGATCGTGGCAGCACGCTATTGGCCGAAAGCCTGAAGCACAACTTTTTTTCTTTTCTGTTTCCTTTTTTTTTTTCTGACATTGCTCCGAGGATGAGTCCTAAAACGGATGCTCCGAGGATGAGTGGAACGAAGACGACAAAAACCCTAAACTTTTCCAAGGATTCATCCTCAGAGCCCGAGGATGCCCCGAGGAGTGTCTAACGACGCCCTATGCTGGAGTACATCATCTTCTTCCTCTTTCTTACTTCTTCTTCTTCTTCTTTCCCTCTCTCCCCTCTCAAGTTCATTCATTTCTTTTTGCAATTGGACGGCATTGTACTTTCTGATGTTTGTAAACTTCAAAATTGGCCAGGATTGTGACACTAAGATAAAATGTCCATTTTAACGAAATGGCAGTTATCTATAGATAACTGGTCGTGGCTGGTTCTGGATTGGTCTACCGCGATTTTTGTCCCGTAGAGAATTGGACAATGATGTATGCGGTCAAGAATCTATGTTGCACGCCCCGCCGCGGCCGGGGGTCCGAGTCGGCCACGGCCGGGGGGTCCGAGTCGGCCACGGCCGGGGGGTCCGAGTCGGCCGCGGCCTAGGCCGATGACCGAATCGGCCTGGTTCGGCCCAGGCCGACCTGTCGAGTTCGGTGCATTATTTTTTTTTCCCATTTTTTACGTGTAAAATATATATATATATATATGGGCGTGTAGGGCTTGAAAAGCCCTGCACACCCATATTTTTTTTTTGGGTGTCCGACCTTCGGCGCGGCGCAGAAAAAAAAAACAGCAAAAAAATAAAAAAAAATAAAAAGGCCCGGCGGGCCATTTTGGGCCTGTTTCGGTGCCAGCGAGTGAGAGGCACCGTGTGGGCAGTGGGCAGTGTGGGGAGGGCGGTGGGTCCAGGCCCAGGCCACAGCAAAAATGTTGCCGTTTCAGATAAATGCTACCATTTATCTGAAACAGCAACAGTTGTTGCTGTTGCCGTTATGCTATCGAAATGCCTGCTCACCACTCTTGAGAGAGAAAGAGAGAGACTCTCTCTCTCTCGAGAGAGAGAGAGAGAGAGAAGAGAGACTCTTGAGAGAGAGAGAGAGAGAGAGAGAAAGAGAGACTCTTGAGAGAGAGAGAGAGAGAGAGAGAGATCTTCTTCTTCTTCTTCTTCTTCTTCTTCTTCCTGGGCACCCTGCAGCGGCGCGCGCCGCGCGAGCACGCGGGAGAGCGGCCCCGCGCTGCCCAGCGACCGCAGCACGGCCATCGCCATCGCCGCGCGCGTCTTCTACAAGCGCGCGGCCTTTTTAGTGCCCGGCCGCGGCCGAACACGGCCGAACTCGGCCGAATGTGGCCGATCGAGGCCGATCGCGGCCGGGCAGAGCTGCCCGCCTCGGTTGCGCGCTGTTGGGCGGCCAGCCGGTGTGCTGGTGGACCGTGGCCTGGCGCGACCTCGAGGGGACACGACGGCAGGAGCGGGGGGGACGTCAGGGTGCGGCTACATCGAGAGGACGCAACATCGACGGTGCGGCACGGTCAGACGGCATCCAAGATCAAGGCCACGACTTGTTGGATCCTGGTGGGGGGGCGATGACGGGGGGTGCAGGGAGCAGCGGTGCAGGGGGGTCTGGGGGTGCCCAATTCAACCCGCTGTCCGAGAAGGAGATGGCAAAGTTGAGGCGAGTGAACATTGTTTGGAACTTCGTCACCGCGGGCGAGTCGTCGGGGACTAGTCCAAGATGCACGGGGACCGAAAGTTGCGTTGCAACTTATGCGGCCACCTGTTTCAGAAGGGGTCGTCGAAGGCCGCGCGTCATTTTACGCAGTCGAAGTTTTGCAAGGCTGGGGGGATGAGAGTTCTCACGGAACTCTGGAACGGCACGGACTACACATTTGTGTCGTCCACTGCTCAGCGGGTGCAAAGGTGGATGGCAGACGAGGGCATACGGGACACGAGAGCGCCCGCGGGTGGCCAAAGACAGCGGATGGACGACGAAGAGAGGGACGACATTCAGGACGCCCTCGATGAGGACGAGGGCCGCGAGGGTGGGGCCAGGGAGGGGGCGGTTGCAGACGAGGCAGACGAGGCAGTCGGAGAGCCTAACCTGCCAGGGGAGGAGGTGGTGATGACGTCGAGAGGCGTCGGTGGAGCGGGTCCTGCTACTAGGGCGCCGCGAGCTGAGATGGAGCGCGCGAGGAGGGAGAAGAGGACAGTGGGTCAGGCTGGCCTCGAGGTGCCAGACACGAGCAAGGAGAAGAGGGTTCGACAGACCACGATTGACGAGATGTATGCCAGGGGGAAGTTGGCGAGTTCACAGACGCGTGGCTTCAGTGGATCTACGAGAAGAAGTTGCCATTCAACGCCTTCCGTGGTCCGGAGTTCCAGAGGGTGCAGCAGGCAGCAGAGAGAGTGCCTCGCTCTATCCAATTCCGGTTTCCCTCCTATAGGGTTACAGCGGGCGCCGGTATCCCTTCGCAGAGGGCGAAGGTGGCGACGATGGTGAGCGAGGTGCGCGCCACTTTCCGGCACAGCGGTGCCACTATCCTTTCTGACGGGAGGAAGTCGCGCAGCGGCAAGCCGCTCGTGAACTTCCTCGCTGGGGGCGCCAATGGCGCCTTGCTGTACGCCACCGTCGCACGAGACGGGTCGGTCCGAGACACAGCGGACGTCGTGTACCGTAGGTGGCGGGCCGTCATCTTGTCCTTTCCTGCAAAGGACGTGATCGGCTTCTGCACAAACTCCGCCAGTAACTATACGGCGGCAGAGCTCAGGTTCGCCACAGACCCCAAGCCTGAGATCAAGAGGATCACTTGGCTCCCCTGCTCCACCCATGTCTGCAACTTGATGTTGTCAGATATCGGGACGCGAGTGGTGTGGGTCAAGGAGACCATCATCCGCACTCGAGCGCTTGTGCGATTTATTAAATCGCACGGCGCTGCTCACACCCTATTTAGGAAGGTGAGCCCTCGCGTTCAGCTCGTCGAGCACGTTGAGACACGGTTTGCATCGGTTTTCCTGATGCTGACGTGTCTCAAAGGCCAACGAGACGCGTTGGAGAGCATGTTGCACAGGGATGCTTGGGCACGCATCCCGTGGGATCGCGCCCACGTATCTCAGGCGCAGTGGGTGCAGCAGCAGATCCGGGACGGGGAGTTTTGGCAGCGTGTCCATTACGCCATCCTAGTCATGTCGCCCGTCCACCAGCTACTGCGCAGGATGGATAGAGGTGGGATGATGATGTCCGTCGTTTACGAGTGGAGTCAGCATCTGCTGCAGTTGATGAGCAGGGTCGACGTGCCGACGGACATGATCGAGCCGTGCGTTCGTGAGGTTGCCATCCGCAACCTCCACATGCTAGAGCCCGCACATGCCGCGGCCCACCTCCTCAACCCTCGTCGACGGTCCCTCACGTATTATCATTCGCTGGAGACGACCGCCGACAACCGCCGTGTGGTCGAGGAGTGCGATAGATTTCTCCTGGCGCAGACCGGCGGCAATCCGGTCAGCTTATCGTACAGGACCATGTAGGACCAGATGAGCGCGTTCCACTCGAGGCGAAGGGATTGGGGACATCGTGACCTCTCTGATGTCGAGGCGGCCGATTGCAGGGGGGACAGTGAGACCGAGCGATGTGCAGCATGGTGGTTCGAGCATGGACGTGCCCACCCGAAGTTGAGCACCATCGCCATCCGTGTCATGCACTTGTGGACGTCTGCCTCTCCAGCGGAGAGGAACTGGGCAGAGCACGAGCGCTGCAAGCTTGGGTTCGCCAAGCTTGCACATCTGGTTGAGATTGCCACCAATCTCAAACTGGCCTCGTGCGCACGGCAGGGTGGTGGCTACGTGTTGCCATGGGTTATGGGGACCGGTCGGGGGGGACGGCGGCAGAGGAGGAGGATGAGGAGGGAGATGTGGAGCCCGAGGTGTGGGGACCGCGACCTAATGGCAGTGTTCTCGAGCAGGAGATCCAGCGGCAGATTGTCGCTTTCCGTGACAGCCGACCGTCCAAAGCCCATTCGGTTCGGGACGTGTTCGGCAGCACAGCGACGGAGCTGCGGCCGTGACCGGAGGGTGGGGATGATGTGGACGCTGCTGCGACAGGCGACGACATCGACGACGACTGGACTAACGATGATGACACGCCGCTGAGTCGCGACCCGACGGCTGAGCGAGTGTACTTCACTTACGGTGGGGGTCATGACTCCTTCCGATGCCGGTATCCGCCCCCGCTCGTCGTCAGTGCTCCGCACACAGGACTTCGAGGACATAGTGCTTGGTGGGAGCTTGGGAGATTTGAGTGTCGAGGGACGTCGACTTGCCTCACCGCAGGATGTGCGCACAGACGCGGACGTTGAGCGGGGCCCTGTTGAGACTGAGGAGGAGAGGGATGCCCGTTTGGATCGAGAGGAGGAGGAGCGGCTGAGGAGTTTGCCACAATGGGAGGGTTGGTTCGCGTATCTCGACGAGCAGCGTCGGCAGAGGGACTTGGAGACAGGANTGAGGAGGAGAGGGATGCCCGTTTGGACCGAGAGGAGGAGGAGCGGCTGAGGAGTTTGCCACAGTGGGTGGGTCGGTTCACGTATCTCGACGAGCAGCGTCAACAGAGGGACTTGGAGACAGGAGCGGGGGGGAGCCGTGACGTCGACGACTCGGGTGTCCCTGAGGAGGCGGTTCAGGGGGAGTTCGATTATGAGGGGCAGGATGCCGCCGCGGGTGGTGGGTCAGGTGGTGGACGACGCGGCGACGAGGAGACCGCTGGTGTCCCTAAGGGGCAGGATGTTGTCATGGGCGGTGGGTCCCCTAGTGGGGGCCGTGGCAACAGCGAGACCGCGGGTGATGAGGGTCAGGGTGCCGCAGTGTGAGGTAGAGGAGAGGGTGGACCCGGTGGAGACGATGGACCGGACGACGACGATGACGGTGGAGACGATGGACCGGATGACGACGATGACGACGACCACGGTCCCGAGAACGATCCGTATAGGCTCGCCTTGGTGTTGAGGGATCCCACAGTGCCTCCGTTGCGCCCTGCCGATACAGTGCACACATTCTTCGACGCCGACGCTTTGGCGCATGCGTTGACGGATGACCGTTTCGCACACATGAGCCGCAAGATCGGCAAGGAGCGGGCCCCTGGGAGGGTATATTCACCGCCGTCGTTCACAGTGCAGAGCCCTCACTGGTCGGGTTCGTCGCTCAGCAGCGTTAGAGGGAGGGAGTCCGGTGCGGGTGAGGTGGGGTCCGGCAGACGCAGCGACGGTGGCAGAGATAGTGCAAGATCGATGCCTCCACCACCCGCACGGACTCCGGAGGCCAGGGTCGACACCAAGGACCAGACGGAGGCACCCGCAGTTGCGCACAGTGGCGGTTCCCCGCCACCAGTCCGAGGAGGTGTGGGTGGCAGATGGTCAGCAGTTCGTCGGGTCGGGGACTGGTTGAGGGCGGATTATGACGCCGGGAGGGGCGTCTTCACGGGACGTACGCCTGTTCAGACGCAGGCTGCGGAGGGTGGGTCCGAACGTCCGAGCCTGCAGATGGCAGGCCGCATGCTTGGTTTGTCACGAGCAAAGACGAGGAGGACATTGGTCCTCGAGGCCGCAGGGACATCCACGGACAGGCTGCGGGGAGAGCATTTCACATCGGGCGAGGAGGGGTTGTCGATGCGTCCCGGGACGAGACGACAGCATGGCCTCTCGGAGGTTGAGGCTCGACTCACTGCAGGGGTCGCCGCTGGGCAGGCAGCATTGGACGCGATTCAGAGGGAGAGAGAGAGGGGGATTGCTGCACAGGCGGAGGAGGACGAGGACGCAGACACTGAGTCCGAGCCGATCGAGACTGCGGCACGCAGACACAGGGCACAGGTGGCCGCGGCGGCCGCTGCGGCACATGCGGCATACGACAGCGGGGCACGGGGCACAGGTACCGGAGGGAGAGGAGGGCGTCGGGGAGGACCGCATGGCCGCACGTCCTCCGGGAGAGGCCGCGCGCGCTCTGGTGGGAGTTGACGACGTCCGTGGTGTTTTTTGCTACTCGGTTGTACAGTAGAGACGACGTCCGTCGACGGGTCCAGTTTTTTTTTTCTACTCTATTGTGTAGCAGAGACGATGGGTCCAATTTTTTTTTCCTACTCGGTTGTACATTAGGGTTTTCATTTTTTTCTTTCGTACTTGGTTTTCATTAGAGACGATGTGGACATTAGGGTTTTCTTTTTTTTTTTTTGCTCCTCGGTTGTACAGTAGAGACGACGCCTGTCGACGGGTCCAGTTTTTTTTTGCTACTCTGTTGTGTAGCAGAGACGATGGGTCCAGTTTTTTTTTGCTACTCTGTTGTGTAGCAGAGACGATGGGTCCAGTTTTTTTTTGCTACTCGGTTGTGCAATAGAAACTACGGGTCCAGTTTTTGGCTTCAGCCTTGTACATACGCATTTCCATTTAAATACTTTGTCATATATTTGCTCTTGTTCTTGTTCCTCCGCCAACATTGGTCTTGCATCTGAGTCGCTGTTGTCTGGTGATTGTTTTCTGCTTTGTTGTCGTGATTGTTGCAAATTATGTGCTTCTCCGATGCCACGCACGTGCATGTCATGGTTGCCTCCATTATGAATGTGCTGTTAATTTCAGATGCGACATAGGGATGACGTGCTAATGAATGTGTTCTTACATAAATGATGTGCTAATGAATGTCCATTAGTCTCCTGAGTGAACACACACTATGACACACTTGCCTGTTATCATTGTTTGAAACTTGTGGTTCGCCGCATTGTGATTGATTTTCAATGTGTTTTGACATTGGTATGCCAAACAAGGTCTGACTTCTGATTGCCAAATTTGCCATGAATGTGTTGTTTTCAAATAAGCCACGAACTGTCATCGCCCTCATTAATGAAACCGACGCCTACCTTTCACTGCGTGAGGCCCTGATCCGCCTGGGGTCTGCCATCTGCAGCCCCGTCTTGCTTCGACCCGGTCTGGCCGCACGGCCCGCCCCAACCAGGTCCTCATCCAACCCACGTTAGACTGCCCCCGCAGGGGTCAAATATATATATATATTTTTTTCCACTGTTCCAGACCCTCCTCCCTGCGACCCCGCATCGACAAACCTGCCAAATGGGGCCGCTGGATTTTTCGCGGGCCACCCTTCCAGGGTCTTGTGCAGGACCCCCCCATTTTTTTTTTTGGACGCCCTGTCACTTTGAGGGGGTCCCCCCCCACCACCCCACCCCAAACCCACTCCCAGCTTCGAAAACGGCCCCCCAGATCGGCCGACACCGAGGCCGAAAAAACTCGGCCGGGCCGGCCGCCGGCCGTGGCCTGGGCCGAACTCGGCCGCGGCCAGCGTGCAACATAGTCAAGAATTGCCTTTGGGGACAGAGAAGACAGTTTTCCGACTTTCTATCTTTCACATGTTGGATAGAAGAAATGTTGTAGATAGAGATTTGATTCGTTCTTCAGTAATTGGTTCGGTGATTTAGGGGTGCCAAACAATGAGAGACGATCATCTGATTTTGTTTGGGTGAACAGAAATTCCAATAACAATTGCAAACTGTATCTTGCCCCATACTAGTTCAATTATAACTCATTTTTGCGACTCTACGGAAGTTACCCCTACCGTCTTCCCCCGAACACAACGCACCCTCATTTTGGTTGTATCTGGCCGGAAATATATATTGTATACATTCATTTTCAGGGTGCGTTATGTTCGGGGGAAGACGGTAGTACTTCTTATTTCATTGTTTGGCTTCCTCCCGTTGCCTGCTCAATGTCAGTAGACTTCTTTTTTTTTTTTTTTTTGAAGCTATATTCTTCTCTCAATTTCACCTCAGACTACCTACCTACCACTACTCCTAATTGTAGGCATACGGGAAACCTCGTAGCAGCCAGAACCGTGTTCACGAGAGAACATGCGGGGGCTGCTCCCGACCTGCAGGTGGGCAATAACAGCTAGGGGACAGCCGGTAGCATCAGGGACCATGCCAACAGGACCATTCCCTTTGCCTCCCCTCAGGTGGTGGTCCCCCCCTCTTAGGAACATTAGCAGACTCTCGTCAATGCCGATCGGGGGATCCTGTGGTCTATCTCTAGGTGGCGGGCGCCAAGCATGCCCAGGAAGGTACATGAGGCCAAATGGGGATTGAACCCAAGACCTCCTGAATGCAACTTGCAAGCCTTACCAACCGAGTTAGGCCGCTGGAAGTAGAATTCAGAGCAGGTGTGTGGCTCTTTCTTTTGCTGCCTGAACAATGCATTTGCCTGCTCAATGTGAGTAGAATTCAAAGCAGGTGTGTGTGTGGCTTTTTCGTTTGCTGCTTGAACAACGCATTTGCCCAAAATATCTAGCATTGTTCAGGCAACTGCAACGAAAAACAAGGGGCAGCGAAGTAACTTTTGCTGCCCCTTCGTTATGGATGTGAAAAGGAATTGATAGACGCTGTTGGTTTCCTCCCGTTGCCTGCTCAATGTGAGTAGAATTCAAAGCAGGTGTGTGTGTGGCTTTTTCTTTTGCTGTTTGAACTATGCATTTGCCCAAAATATCTAGCATTGTTCGGGCAAATGCAACAAAAAACAAGGGGCAGCGAAGTAACTTTTGCTGCCCCTTCATTATGGATGTGAAAAGGAATTCAATTTGATAGATGTTGTGGCTGTGAAATTGTAAGAGAGAGAGAGAGAGAGAGAGAGAGAGAGAGAGAGAGAGAGAGAGAAAAAGTAAGAGAGAGGGTTTATTTCAGACACAAGTCGGTTACAGTCTCAGTTGCTCAATACAGAGTAGGCGTGGTTTTGAGAGAGAGAGTGGATTTTCCACCGGGCGGAAAATATATTGGAGTATAGTACTTCTTCTTTGCTGGTTGTCGTTCCTTCCTTTTATTTCTTTTGCTCTATTCTTTTTCACCCAAACAGAAGCATAGCCACTACTCTCTTCCTTCACCCACACAGAAGCATAGCCACTACTCTCTTCCTTCACCCACACAGAAGCATAGCCACTACCCTCTTCACCCGAATAGAACACCCCTGTTATGGTAGCTGAACCTAGACTGAAACTTGCCCCGAATGCAGCTGTAATGACCGGGCTTGTAGCTGGGTGAAAAATGCGGTAGTGTGCTTATCCCTTGGTTGAAAGGTGGTAGGAGTGGCTTCGTAATAGATAGTTTCTTTGAGTCAGCGAAGATTCTGGTTCGATTTGATTATTGTCCATGGTTATCATGGCCCTCGCTCCACCACTCAGCACATGCATTAAGGACAAAAAACGTTATGGTGGCGTATATTTTGCAAATTTGGTGAGTGGTGGAGCGAGACCCTATATGAGCCACTGCTGATGCTGAAACGCGAATTGAGGCTTCAACTCTACCCAAGGGCAATGTTTGATAAGACGCAGCAAGTTTTTGCTAGGCGTCGATGTCCCGAATGGGGTAGCCTGGCGCAACGGGTGTTGAGTCGGAAGTAGCCTGACGATACTTGTCTCCTTGATACCTTCGTGAGAAATGAGATCGCAGGTTCGAGAAGGCCTTGGATAGACTCAGAAGGTTGCGAGGGGTTGTAGAACGGTTTCTCTGTTTTTTCTTTGTTTGTTTTTTCGCGGCTACTAATTACAGATAGTGTGTGTTGTTGGTTGTCTGGCCTTGGCATATTCGACCGCGCTTCTTTTCTCGTTCCTTCTTTTGTTGTTTCTGCCTTTTGATCTTTCGGACTTCAACCTGAGTCGTTTAGAGTTTCTGTAGACCCTGTAGCAGCCTAGATCTGACCTTCGCTGTCAGAACGTGGGGCGGACTGCTAAGACGAAGGCATATTTGGGCCGGAGCGGGTTTGCATGCGGACTACGGCTGTGTAATGCAAAAACAAGGTAAGGTTTGCTGAGCAGTTACTATAACTAGTTAGTAGGGTAGAGGATAGGTCTCTCTAAACTTAAAGCATCCCCCTAAGGATGGCCGGTTCTGGCACTGGCCGCAACGCGTCGGGGAGAGAGATGGTTAACAACAGACACTATTTACAGGTCGCTTTCAGCCACTTCAGGTCCCCACCTGAAACTCCTGAAATGACCTTAAGTGGCTGAAGCTTCTGAAAGGGGTTTCAGGTACCCCCATCCAAATGGTTGGATGGGGGTACCTGAAACCCCTTTCAGAAGCTTCAGCCACTTCAGCGGTTTCAGGTCCCCACCTGAAATTCCTGAAATGACCTAAAGTGGCTGAAGCTTCTGAAAGGGGTTTCAGGTACCCCATCCAAATGGTTGAATGGGGGTACCTGAAACCCCTTTCAGAAGCTTCAGCCACTTCAGCGGTTTCAGGTCCCCAACACCTGAAACTCCTGAAATCACCTGAAGTGGCTGAAAAAACAGGCTGGAAAAAAAAAAAAAAAACACATAAAACATGTCCTCCAAACCAACCGAAACTTCTGAAATGACATGAAGTGTCTTCAGGCCATTTCAACGGTTTCAGACCACTTCAGAATCTTTCATTCTCAAATTTCAGGTGGTCATTAACCGCGAGTGGTCGGGGAACGCCAGCGTAGGCACAGAGGTGCTTACGGGCTCGGAATCGTTGTGCTCATCGTCACGTTCCTTCCGTCAATTCCTAAAGAGCTAAGCTTCGCCGTTTTTTAGTTTTGTGAGAATTTTCCTATCATGAAGAGTGCGAGTGCTTGGATTTGGGAGAAAGTACTCGACTCTTATTTGTTCATGTTTGGACTAACTCGCTGCAGAGTATCTCTGCACCGAAGCACTATCTCAACTCAGTGACGAACGGCGCAACAAGCCGAGGGAGGATACTCAGATTATGGTGGCAACCGTGCAACGGCGACACAGCAACAACGACATAGCGGCAAGACTGAACTGAAGCAGCGGTATTTTGGTAACTCGAAGGGCGACTGAAGATCACTAGCGAATCACGGACGAGTGAAAGGCCAAACAACAAAAGTCGAAGAAGTACGAAGAACTGCTAGGAAAGCAGTGTTGATGGAGCAGCGGGGATTGACCGAAGAAATGGGTAGTCGAAGAGGGGATGGGTACGAACGACGAGATGCCTAAAAAGGGTATGAAAGTGGCGGATAGGACAGAGGTGATGACAGAGGAAGAGGCGATCGAAGGGATAGGAGAGAAGAGAGGTTGGCCTGGTCATCGAATGACTACGGTGGAAGAAACCAAGGAGGAGGAGGGAGATCGATCAAATGCTACGAGTGCGGGGAGCATGGGCATTACAAAGGTCAGTGCCCACGACTGCAAGGGAAATATGGAGGAGGCGGTGGCCTTACTATAAGTAGGGAGTTGGAGGAATCGCTTAGCTCTGTAGGAAAGATGGCTAAGTTTCTGTTTGACTAGAAATAGGAAGAAGAGAATGTAAAAAAGGAGGCGGATGAAAAAAGGAAGAAGGAAGAAGGAAGAAGAAAAAGAGGAGGCAGTCAGGACCGAGCTGCAAAATAAACAGTTGAAGAAAGAGAAAGAAAAGAAAAGGCAGTGGAAAATGAAGAAGATGTTGGTGGAACAAAGGGAGGAATATCAGGAACAGCTCAATACCATTGTGAAAGAGTTGAAAGGGGCGTTAATTGCGAAGAAGAAGAAAGGGAAAGGGAAAGCACTAGTAATGCCTTCCTCGAGCTCCGAAGACGATGAAGCTTTAGAAGAAAAAAACCCACTAAAAGACAAGCGTAAGAGGAGAGAGTCCCCAGACCAAGTGGCCGACAACCCAACGGTGGTCACCTCAGTCAAAAG